CGCGTGGAGAACGAGGTCGGCGGTGGCGGTGGAGCGGAGGGTCAGAGTTGGCGGAGACTGCGCCGGTTCACACCGCGAGAGGGTGGGGGGGGGGGCGGGTTGGGCCGCGGTGCCGATGACCGGTTTGGTGGGTGCGGCGCAGGTCTTGTGGGGCGGGGGGGGGGGTGGAGGGGGGAGGGGGCCCATCACGTGGCTGTTATCCTACGGGGAGAGAGCGAGAGAGGGGGGCGCCCTGCCCCCCCCTCCCCTCGGCGCTCGGCCCTTGCCAAGTGGCACAGGCCAGGGCCGGGCGGCAGCGCCCGGCGGCTTTGAAGGCCAGAAGGAGGAAGCGCGCGGACGCCGATGGGCGAGCATCGCCCGGTAGCAGGCGCGGAGCGGCGCGCTACCGGCAACGGCAAACCACCACGATAAAAACAACACGATTCATTATTTATTTTAAATCTCGGGGTGGGGGAGAAGGAAACGCGCGTTGGGCTCTTGTGGGGCCCTCGGACAGGAAGTGGCTGCAATGGGCCCCCCCCTCTTCCCCGTTCTTCAAAGGTGGCCGTGCCGCCTGGCGCGGCCGCCGTGCCGGCTGGCGCGCGTTCAAGGGCTCCTGACGAAGGCGCGAGGCCCTTCCCGCTCGCCGCGACGCTTCCTGGGAGCGCGGGGGAATCGCGGGGGAAGCACGGGGAGGGGCGTGGGGAAGCACGGGGAGGGGCGCTCGCCACGGCATTGGCATCGCGTCCAGCTCACCGTCACCGCCCCCCCCCCCCCCCCCAACCATCCACCACCATAGTAGCCACTGGAGGGGCTTTGTTGTACGTATCTTTAATTTTTTTAGCACCGTTATGTAGCCAACCGTGCTAATCGGAGGTGCGAGGAAGGACAACAAACTAATGATGTTATTAGCGCAAAGCTTGTTTAGCGGTGGCGAGGAGATGTTAACTCCCTCGTCTGGTATGCGGGAGGTCGTGCGTTTGATCCCGACCCTGACGCCTGCTGCTGTATATTTGCAGTTTGCGTCTCTCCCCGTGGTCACGCTTTTTTTTCTCTCCGCATCCTCTGGTTTTTCCCTCCACATGTATAACACAAATTTTTTTATTTTTTTTATTCCTGGGTAGTAAGTGTTATTTTCTAATTGCTTATGCCTCAAAAGTACAGAATTTCTGTTATTCTCCACAAACCTCTCTTTGTGTTAGTTTATGGGGTCCCTGTTAGTCTTTGGGTCCCTGTGTTAGTCTATGGGTCTCTGTGTGGTGAGTCTCTACGGGTCTCTGTGTTAGTCTGTGGTTCTCTGTTGTGGTGAGTCTACGGGTCTCTGTGTTAGTCTATGGGTCTCTGTGTGGTGAGTCTGTGGGTCTCTGTGTGACGAGTCTATGGGTCTCTGTGTGGTGAGTCTATGGGTCTCTTTGTGGTGAGTCTACGGGTCTCTGTGTGGTGGTGAGTCTACGGGTCTCTGTGGTGAGTCCACGGGTCTCTGTGTGGTGAGTCTGTGTGTCTCTGTGTGGTGAGTCTATGGGTCTCTGTGTGGTGAGTCTATGGGTCTCTGTGTGGTGGTGAGTCTATGGGTCTCTGTGGTGAGTCTATGAGTCTCTGTGGTGAGTCTACGGGTTTCTGTGTGGTGAGTCTACGGGTCTCTGTGTGGTGAGTCTACGGGTCTCTGTGTGGTGAGTCTACGGGTCTCTGTGTGGTGAGTCTACGGGTCTCTGTGTGGTGAGTCTACGGGTCTCTGTATGGTGAGTCTATGGGTCTCTGTGGTGAGTTTACGGGTCTCTGTGGTGAGTCTACGGGTCTCTGTGTGGTGAGTCTACGGGTCTCTGTGTGGTGAGTCTACGGGTCTCTGTGTGGTGAGTCTACGGGTCTCTGTGTGGTGAGTCTACGGGTCTCTGTGTGGTGAGTCTACGGGTCTCTGTGTGGTGAGTCTACGGGTCTCTGTGTGGTGAGTCTACGGGTCTCTGTGTGGTGAGTCTACGGGTCTCTGTGTGGTGAGTCTACGGGTCTCTGTGTGGTGAGTCTACGGGTCTCTGTGTGGTGAGTCTACGGGTCTCTGTGTGGTGAGTCTACAGCTGTCATCGTGCTTTCTCACTATCCCGGAGTGAAGCAATGCGTAGCTCTCCCCCCCACCATCCCCCCCCCCACCCCCCAGGGCGTTGTAATCCGCGTGCCGTCTCGTTCGCACTACCAGCGTGCGGCCGCAGAAAGCACTTGTTCTGTGCCCCCCCTGCCAGCGCCGCACCCCTGCCCCCTCGCCCCACCAACGCTTCCCTTTCAATCACAGCACCTCTGCCGCCTCCCCTCCCTCACTGCTCCCTCTCCTCCGTGCGACGGCAGTGGCGCTGCTGCTTCACGTCCCATCGTCACCGTGTACACGCCTCCAACACCGCCACCAACACCGCCTCCAACACCGACACCGACACCGCCAGCAACACCGCCACCAACACCGCCACCAACACCGCCATGTAACACCGCCACCAACACCGCCACCAACACCGCCACCAACACCGCCATGTAACACCGCCACCAACACCGCCACCAACACCGCCACCAACACCGCCAGCAACACCGCCAGCAACACCGCCAGCAACACCGCCACCAACACCGCCACCAACACCGCCAGCAACACCGCCACCAACACCGCCACCAACACCGCCTCCAACACCGACACCGCCAGCAACACCGCCAGCAACACCGCCAGCAACACCGCCACCAACACCGCCACCAACACCGCCATGTAACACCGCCACCAACACCGCCAGCGACACCGCCTCCAACACCGCCACCAACACCGCCATGTAACACCGCCACCAACACCGCCACCAACACCGCCAGCGACACCGCCAGCAACACCGCCACCAACACCGCCACCAACACCGCCATGTAACACCGCCTCCAACACCGACACCGACACCGCCACCAACACCGCCACCGACACCGCCAGTGACACCGCCACCAACACCGCCACCAACACCGCCACCAACACCGCCACCAACACCGCCATGTAACACCGCCACCAACACCGCCAGCGACACCGCCTCCAACACCGACACCGACACCGCCACCAACACCGCCACCAACACCGCCAGCAACACCGCCACCAACACCGCCACCAACACCGCCTCCAACACCGACACCGCCAGCAACACCGCCAGCAACACCGCCACCAACACCGCCACCAACACCGCCAGCAACACCGCCACCAACACCGCCACCAACACCGCCTCCAACACCGACACCGCCAGCAACACCGCCAGCAACACCGCCACCAACACCGCCACCAACACCGCCATGTAACACCGCCAGCGACACCGCCTCCAACACCGCCACCAACACCGCCATGTAACACCGCCACCAACACCGCCACCAACACCGCCAGCGACACCGCCAGCAACACCGCCATGTAACACCGCCTCCAACACCGACACCGACACCGCCAGCGACACCGCCAGCAACACCGCCATGTAACACCGCCACCAACACCGCCACCAACACCGCCACCAACACCGCCACCAACACCGCCATGTAACACCGCCTCCAACACCGACACCGACACCGCCAGCGACACCGCCACCGACACCGCCAGTGACACCGCCAGTGACACCGCCACCAACACCGACGCCAACACCGCCACCGACACCGCCAGTGACACCGCCAGCAACACCGCCACCAACACCGCCACCAACACCGCCACCAACACCGACACCGACACCGCCACCAACACCGCCACCAACACCGCCACCAACACCGCCTCCAACACCGCCTCCAACACCGACACCAACACCGCCAGCAACACCGCCACCAACACCGCCACCAACACCGCCACCAACACCGCCTCCAACACCGACACCGACACCGCCAGCAACACCGCCACCAACACCGCCACCAACACCGCCAGCGACACCGCCAGCAACACCGCCACCAACACCGCCAGCAACACCGCCTCCAACACCGACACCAACACCGCCACCAACACCGCCAGCAACACCGCCTCCAACACCGCCTCCAACACCGACACCGACACCGCCAGCAACACCGCCTCCAACACCGACACCAACACCGCCACCAACACCGCCAGCAACACCGCCACCAACACCGCCACCAACACCGCCACCAACACCGCCTCCAACACCGACACCGACACCGCCAGCAACACCGCCACCAACACCGCCACCAACACCGCCAGCGACACCGCCACCGACACCGACGCCAACACCGCCACCGACACCACCACCAACACCGCCACCGACACCACCACCGACAGCCATGCGGCTCCTCACCACTCGGTGACTGCTGCTGCTGCCTTCCTGCTCCTTCGTCTGTGGTTCCTCCTCCTGGCACCTCTGAGTCGTCCTCTCTCTCCGAGTCGTCCTCTCTCTCCGAGTCGTCCTCAGAGTCATCCTCTCTCTCTCAGAGTCGTCCTCTCTCTCTGAGTCGTCCTCTCTCTCTGAGTCGTCCTCTCTGAGTCGTCCTCTCCGAGTCGTCCTCTCTCTCCGAGTCGTCCTCTCTCTCCGAGTCGTCCTCTCTCTCCGAGTCGTCCTCTCTCTCCGAGTCGTCCTCTCTCTCCGAGTCGTCCTCTCTCTCCGAGTCGTCCTCTCTCTCCGAGTCGTCCTCTCTCTCCGAGTCGTCCTCTCTCTCCGAGTCGTCCTCTCTCTCCGAGTCGTCCTCTCTCTCCGAGTCGTCCTCTCTCTCCGAGTCGTCCTCTCTCTCCGAGTCGTCCTCTCTACGTGTGAGGGCGATGAGCGGATATTGTTTGACGGTAGTACATCACAAACTGTAATCATAATAATAATGATGTTACATAATAATGATACTGCCACGTTTTCACACCGCCCCCCACCCCCCAGTGTCGCCCGCTGTGCACGCAGAGACGCGCTCGGCCTGCCTCGACGAGGCCTTCGCAAGTATCGAGGTTTTGTTGAACGTCGAGAAACGTGTCTCTGTCTCTCCCCCCTCTTCTTCGTTTTCCGTGATCCTCCTCCCTGCCCCCCCCCCCCCCCCCCCCCCCCCCGTGTCCCCCACAGGAAGTCTCGGTCACGGAGCCGCTCTCTGTCACGCTCGCGCTCCCGCTCGCGATCACGGAGCCTCCACCGCTACAGCCGCCACTAGGGAGAGACACGCGGAGTCACCGGTGCGACGGGGTCCTCGTGATCGCCACGGCGACGAGGTCCTCGGGATCGCCACGGCGACGAGGCCTTCGAGGTCACCGCGGCCTTCGAGGTCACCGCGGCAACGAGGCCTTCGCTGTCACCGCGGCAACGAGGCTCTCACTGTCACCGTGGCTACGAGGCCCTCGTGGTCATCCTGGCGACGAGTCCCTCAGGGTCATCGTTGCAACGAGGTCCTGGCTGTCACCTTGGCGACGAGGGCTCGCGGTTACCGTGGCGACGAAGTCCTCGGGGGACTGAAGCGACTGAGGCCCTCGGCGAGGTTCTCGCGATCGCCGTGGCGATGAGGCCTCCAGAGTGACTGCGTGGCGGCAACGAGACCTCGGTTACCGTGGCGACGGGGCCTCAGGGTGACTGTGGCGACGAGGTCCTCGGGGTAACCACGGTGGCGAGGCCTCGGGGTTACCATGGCAATGAGGCCTCGAGGTTACCACGACTACCTGGCCCTCGGGGTAACCACGGTGGCGAGGCCTCGGGGTTACCACGACAACCTGGCCCTCGGGGTAACCGCGGCGACGAGGCCTCGGGGTAACCGCGGTGTACGAGTAACTGCAATGCTTTGATGGGGGGGCGGGGGGGGCTGCTGGGGGGGTGGTGACCGCGCCCCAATTGTAAGTGCTCGTCTTGGTGTAACGATGGCCGCCCCCCCTCTCGCCACACGCCCACCCACCAACCCGCCTGCTCGCTCACCTGACAACTCAAACCACTCGATCACCCATGAGTCCATCTGCTCACTTTCCCACCCGCCATCTCACCCGACCGCTCGCCAGCTCGCCCACCCACCCACCAGCCTGCCTGCCGCTGTAGAACATTGCTCGCCACCGGTGTTAGCCGTGGCGAGCAATCGGAATTTGCCTCACCGGTTTCACATCACGGTGCGCTCACCACTGCGCCACCGCTCCACCCCAGCGCCTCTCGCCTCCCTCTCCCCCGTCCGGGTTATTGCACTCGGGCGCCTCGCCTTCACACGCACATGGCAAAGACGAAGATCCCCCGTATAGCCACGACGCACTGTTTGGGCAAGTGCTGTTCGCAAGCACCTATGACGGGTGGGTGGCCATCGCCACGCCTGGCCCCCTTTGTCTCCCCAGTGACGATTACACACCGCACCATTTTTGAGGCTTAGTCGAGCTCGGGGAGGCCCAGGATCGGTTCAGATAATCGTCACCGCTGTGGGAGGCCGTGCCGCCGGGTTCCATCGACATGCACACTGACACACTCACACTGACACACTCACACTGACACGCTCACACTGACACGCTCACACTGACACGCTCACACTGACACGCTCACACTGACACGCTCACACTGACACGCTCACACTGACACGCTCACACTGACACGCTCACACTGACACGCTCACACTGACACGCTCACACTGACACGCTCACACTGACACGCTCACACTGACACGCTCACACTGACACGCTCACACTGACACGCTCATACTGACACTCACACTGACACGCTCACACTGACACGCTCACACTGACACGCTCACACTGACACGCTCACACTGACACGCTCACACTGACACGCTCACACTGACACGCTCACACTGACACGCTCACACTGACACGCTCACACTGACACGCACACACTGACACGCTCACACTGACACGCTCATACTGACACGCACACACTGACACACTCACACTGACACACTCACTGACACGCTCACACTGACACGCTCACACTGACACGCTCATACTGACACTCACACTGACACGCTCACACTGACACGCTCACACTGACACGCTCACACTGACACGCTCACACTGACACGCTCACACTGACACGCTCACACTGACACGCTCACACTGACACGCTCACACTGACACGCTCACACTGACACGCACACACTGACACGCTCACACTGACACGCTCATACTGACACGCACACACTGACACACTCACACTGACACACTCACTGACACGCTCACACTGACACGCACACACTGAGACACTCACACTGACACACGCACACTGACACACTGACACACGCGTTGCCACCCCTCGCCCCGTGTCGCCCAGGGCACGATTTCTATTGGCGGCAGCGGTGGTGTCCGCGTTGCGGTGGTGTCCTCGGCAATGCGGCGGTGCCGGTCCGATATTTAAAACGTAACCGGGCCAGGCAACGTTGGTGGGTTCTGGTTTGAATTGTCTTGTGGTGGCCAAACGGCTTTTGTATTCGAGGCTGTGCTGGTTTTTTTTATTGGAAGCGAGCGAGGACGGGTGAGCGCGTGAGCGAGTGAGAGGGCGGGTGAGGGTGAGTGCGTGAGAGGGCGGGTGAAGGTGAGTGCGTGAGCGGGTGGGTGGTGTGGTGTGGGTGGTGTGGGTGGTGTGGGGTGGGTGGGTGGTGTGGGGTGGATGGGTGGTGTGGAGTGGGTGGTGTGGGTGAGTTGGATGAGTGAGTGGGTTGGTGGGTGAGTGGGTGAGTGGGTTGTGATGTGGGTGAGTGAGTGGGTTGGTGGTGTGGGTGAGTGAGTGGGTTGGTGGTGTGGGTGAGTGAGTGGGTGAGTGGGTGGGTGAGTGTGTCCGTGCTCGCTCGTGCTGTGTGGCTGCGTTCTCCGCGTTAGTGCAGCCACGGCCCGATTGAGCGGGTCATCCCCCCCCTGCCCCACTATCACCCCTGCCCCACTGTCCCCGTGTCGCGTGTGCCACACGGAGTTCTGCTGGAGTCTGCACGCTCCTCGCTCCTCGCTCGTGTTTGTCTCTCCTGCGGGGGGTGTGGGTGGGTTTGGTGGGACTCGACTATTCGCTACCGACGGCGGGGATTGGGGGGTGGGGGGCTTGACTATTCACACTGCGGGGCTGGGGGGGAGGGGATCTTCTGTTGGACTCGACTTGTGCCACGGAAATTAAAGCGGCGTGAGTTCTGTCCATCAACGGCGAGAGTGCTTGAGAGGTGCGCGTGTCGTGTGTCTGCGGGTGGCCCTGGTCACGGGCCGTCGGTCACCAAGTCCCCGCAGTCCCTCACAGCCCTGACTCACAAGACCCGTGTCCCCGTTCACACCAGTCACCCGTGCAGAGCCAGCGGCGGACGTTGACACATTTCTCTCGCGGGGGACGATTCGAGCCACAGGACAACCGCTGTTGAACTGGTGCACACTCAAATGTTATTTCTTCACGGGCATCTTTAAAACCCCCAAGGCCGCTGTACATTACCCATTATTCCGTGCAATTCAAATAGTCGCTCGGTTATGTATGAGGCCGAGTCGACCTAGTGGAGGCACAGCACCGCTTCAAGTAATTGTCGCCGCTGTTGTACTCGGGTCACCGAGTTAGTAGCGTAGCGTGCTCAGCGCTCATACACGGGAGTGGTGGTTGTGGTGGTAGTGGTGGTGGTTGTATGTTGACCTCGGGTGGGTGGTTGGGGTGGGTTGTGGGGTTGGTGGGTTGGGTGGGCAATCGGCACGGATCGTGACGGGAGGGGTGGGAGGCCGCGAGAGAGACCTACAACGACTCAAACTAAGAAATGTTTTACTGGTAAGAACCACCTGGTTCCACCAGCCCACGGGATTATTGTGTCCGTCCGTCCGTCGTGGATCCAAACATGGTAGGGGAGGGGCTGGGTGGAGAGGGGAGGGGCTGGGTGGGGTGGGTGGGGCTGGGTGGGGAGGGGCTGGTCACCACGTGGTGCCCTTATAAAACTCAACGTTTAACCTACTCACGCCGGCTTGTGCCCGCCCTCACAGGCATGGTTGTAGAATACACCACGCCGCCGTTGACCCTGGCCATTGACCGAGCAACCCAACGTTGCTAGCAGCTCCCTCCGCAGCAGCAGGACAATGTGTTAATATGCACTGCCGCGAGAGAGACCTACAACGACTCGAACTCAACAATGTGGTGAGTGTCGCAGGTAGCGGCCCGCTGAGCTGTGTAGCTCTTCTGCGGAAGCGAGCCGGCTATCACAAATGCGAGCTCAACCAAGTGGCTCATCACCACCACCATCATCGTGTGGAATGCATCGCAGCCAAATCGTCTGAACGCGTGGTGATGTTGATTCTAAATGTGGAGGGGAAGACTGGAAGACCCGGAGACAAATCGACTACGGGCAGAGAGACACGCAAACTCAAAATATACAGCAGCAGGCGTCAGGGTCGGGATCGAACCCACGACCTCCTGTAGACCAGGCGAGGTAGTTAACATCTCCTAGCCACCATGATGATGATTGAGAGAGAGAGACACGCAAACTCCAAATATACAGCAGCAGGCGTCAAGGTCGGGATCGAACCCACGACCTCCTGTAGACCAGGCGAGGTAGTTAACATCTAGCCACCATGATGATGATTGAGAGAGAGAGACACGCAAACTCCAAATATACAGCAGCAGGCGTCAAGGTCGGGATCGAACCCACGACCTCCTGTACACCAGGCGAGGTAGTTAACGTCTCCTAGCCACCGTGATGATGAGAGAGAGACACGCAAACTCCAAATATACAGCAGCAGGCGTCAGGGTCGGGATCGAACCCACGACCTCCTGTAGACCAGGCGAGGTAGTTAACATCTCCTAGCCACCATGATGATGATTGAGAGAGAGAGACACGCAAACTCCAAATATACAGCAGCAGGCGTCAAGATCGGGATCGAATCCACGACCTCCTGTAGACCAGGCGAGGTAGTTAACATCTAACCACCATGATGATGATTGAGAGAGAGAGAGACACGCAAACTCCAAATATACAGCAGCAGGCGTCAGGGTCGGGATCGAGCCCACGACCTCCTGCATAGCAGACGAGGTCGTTAAAATTGGCGCCGAAAATGACGTCAATTGCAGGTGAAACGAAGCGGAATCGGCACAAAAGCAACCGCGGTTGAAGAGGAATCTGAGACCGCTGCTGGTCGAGGGGGCGCCCTCGACTCGGGGCGCGAGGTCGAGCCAAGAGGCGACGGCAAAAGCTCAGCAACGGATTGTCAAACCCATCTGTGCGGAGTTATTGAGTCGGCGCCGAACTATCGTAGGGGCGTCGACGGCGGTGCTGCCGGCCGTGTTGGTGGGGGGGAGGGGAGGGGTGTCGTGTTGGTGGAAGGGGGGGGGTGTAGATGGGGGGGGGGGCTGTGAGAGTGGAGGGGGGGGGTGTGAGAGTGGAGGGGGGGGGGGCTGTGAGAGTGGAGGGGGGGGGCGGTGAGAGTGGAGGGGGGGGGGTGTAGATGGAGGGGGGGTGTAGATGGAGGGGGGGCTGTGAGAGTGGAGTGGAGGGGGGGCTGTGGGAGTGGAGGGGGGGGGGCTGTGAGAGTGGAGGGGGGGCTGTGAGAGTGGAGGGGGGGGGGCTGTGAGTGGAGTGGAGGGGGGGCTGTGAGAGTGGAGGGGGGGGCTGTGAGAGTGGAGGGGGGGGAGGCTGTGAGAGTGGAGGGGGGGGCTGTGAGAGTGGAGTGGAGGGGGGGGGGGCTGTGAGAGTGGAGTGGAGGGGGGGGGGCTGTGAGAGTGGAGGGGGGGGCACACACCGCATCGCTAATGGAATCAATGGCGAGGTTGGCTCCCGACTTCACAAGTGGAGCCGCATTAAATTTGCATTCAGACCTGGGCGCTGCTCTCTGTGCCTTGGCCTGGCCTTTGATTTAACAACAGCGTGGGGTTTGTTGTTGTTGTTTGTAAACTACAACTTGTGACATCGTTAAACCGACCACTTTGGTGGAGGCGTTCAAAAATGTCCAAAGCGGCAGTAGCAACAAGAGCGGCTCACACGTGGAGAGAGAGAGGATGGGGGAGGGGGGGAGACGCCGCCTGTGAACACGCGTAGTGTGTCATGTGCGCGTGCTGTGTAAATGCACGTGCGTTGAACTTCTTTCGCACCGTACGTAGCCACCCGTGCTAATCGTGGGTGCGTGGGGAAGGACAACTAACCACACACACACAATGGGGCGCGTGAAGCGAGTTGACCGGGCCCACGGGCACACCGGGTTTCCGGAGAGGGAATCGGTGTTTTACTCACTCGCTCACTTCGTATTGTAGCAGGCAACACCCACTTGGGCTGTGGAGATATTTTTCACAAGCGACCTGCCCATCGGGAATGATGATAGCTCAGCGTGGCGATGTCTAAATGTGAATGGGAAAGTCAGAGGAGCCGGAGACAAATCCACGCGACCACGGGGAGAGAGAGAGACACAGAGACCCGTAGAGATTCAGAGGGAGCGCTCGGTGCAGAGATGCGTAAAGACCCGCAGAGACACATCGAGATGATACAGAGAGATACGTTAGAATCCAAATGATGTATTTCTACTTCAGGAATCCGATGAGCTCTAAGGCGATCAAGTTGACGTGTCGCCAGGTGAGAACTGCAGAGACAGGGTAGAGTCGGCACAGTGGCAGACGCAGACAGTGGCAGAAGCAGACAGTGGCAGACACAGTGGCAGAAGCAGACACAGTGGCAGAAGCAGGCACAGTGGCAGAAGCAGGCACAGGGGCAGAAGCAGACACATTGGCAGACGCAGACACAGTGGCAGACGCAGACACAGTGGCAGAAGCAGACACAGTGGCAGAAGC